TAGCGTTTCTTTTATTGACAGTACTGTCAGTTTTCCTTATAATAGACCAACAGTAACACATTTTCGTCCCAAAATCCTTAATACCTTCTTTTTAAGCATATTTGAACAGGTCTTCCCGCTTTAGGTATAATAATTTTACCACAAACGTAACAAAACTGATTTGCACTTACTTTGCACGATTTCGAAGACATGTTTTATGCCACAGTATTAACATGAATCAATTTAACCTAACGTGAAGGTAAAAGCAAAGTTCATTATTTTGGATTTTTGAAAAAACCTGACGTGATAAGGGTTAGTATCCATTTTTGGATTTGTTATCAGCAAGTAATTTAGAAGTAAAAAATATTTTTTTTATTTTTGGATATGAAGAAAAGTTTAAATTTGTAAATTAGTGTTATTCTTAGGCAAGGAGCATAAAGATTAACAAGAAAGAGTGGAGTGAAATTAGCAAGTTTAAAATCTTAAGCACATAAATGAAACACAATGAATGCTAGACAACTTGATGGAATGTGCTGTACTGATGAGATCAAACAAGATAGAAACTGCAGGCTACAGTTTTCCAACACGTTGTCTAGCCTTCGGGGTGATTGCAAATTAATGTATTTTAAATTTGGCGCTAATTTGATGCCATTGGACGTAACAGTCGATACGTATGCGTATACCATATTTCCTTCTACCATGCGTTCGAATTATGTATGACGGCGACGTTGCCAAGTTTCAGAGGTCAGAACGTACAGTTTATATGCCGGAGGTAACAACATACTAGCAGTGTATAAAGGTAAGCGACGCCAGCGCCAACGGTCTACAGCTGAACTAAAATAAAAAGTTGCGACTATGGGATGCACGTTATGACCTCCAGACGAAAATTGAAAATCAAGCTCCTAGCGCCCCCTAGATGATTAAAAAATTATTTACATGGCAAAACGTTTCTACCTCCGAAACCGGAGGTCAGAACGTTGTAGATGAGGTGACAACGTACTACACGTATATACTTCGGAGGTAACAACATACCGTGCATACATATATATATATCTATACTTATATAATAAAGCTGAAGCTTTTGTTTATTTGAACACGCATATCTCAGAAACTACTGGTTCAAATTCAAAAAATCTTTTTGTGTTGGATAGTCCATGTATCATACCTACATATAGGCTGTATAACATCACGCTACGATCATTAGGAGCAAAGTAGCAATGAAAAATTCGGAAAAACGGGAAAATTATTCCTCCTTTGACAGCTTCCGTTGCTTACGCTGCTTAAACGGTTAAAGTTACGTAAAAATCATGTATGACGAAATTATTCCTCTCTAAAAGTTCTAAAGAAAAGTCCGGACAGCATATGTCTATCTTTTAAGGTCGAGTCAGTATAAGCTTTTTTATGGTAATGAAATTTGTTCTAAAATAATAATGCATTATGTATAAAATTCTGGCGTCACAGTGTTTGTAACCGAACTTCTCCGAAATGGGTTGACCGATTTGTATGAAATTTTTTATGTATATTCGGTAGGTCTGACAATAAGTTGCAAACTATTTTTTAAACCCCTAAGTGATAAGGGTGGCCCACCCTAAAAAATGTTTGTCTATTTTTTGGACAAAATTTTTTATTTTAAATTTTTTAAGATTTGGCATCAAAAAATACACATAACACTAAATTTTTACCTTTCTACCACTAACCCCCATTTTTTAATCGTCTATAAAATAAAAATCAATTGCTGTTCCTGTTAGTCTCGCTAAGACTCAAAAACGGCTTGACCGATTTGAAAATTTTTTATATTACGGGAATGGTTTATAAATAAAAAAATAAGGATAACTTAAAAGAACAGTTAAAAAATAAAAAAATTCTAAAAATTTTGTATGGGAATCGCCACTTCGAATTAATTTCAATAGTTGGCGTTCCTCACGGACCTGTCGTCTAACTGACGTGTCATACAAAACTAATTCTTCCGTGCGATTGTGAAAACTATATTGCATTTCAAATCGTTCTTCGTTTTTTCGTAAAAAAAAGTCGTTTATTTTAAGAAAAGTCTTGGTTAAAGTGAATTTAATTACAGATTGCGAAAGTTTCTTATTCATTTTGATCTGCCATTCTTTTTACCTATATTCACTTTGTTGGTTTCGACAGAACCTCAAACTTTACCGTTATTCGAGGATTTAATCTGAAGTTTTCAATATTTTAAAATTCTCAAGACAAAATTTACAGATTTGATTGACTGTGAAAATAATTCTGTATCGTTTTATGAAGTTCATTAAAATGCCGAGAAGACGACAAGCTCACATAGGTCCGCGAAGTCAATCAAATGTGCGACGAACTACCTCAGGTACAAACCGCAATGATTTATTTCATGGGTAATTCGGATACGGAAGTTGATCAGCGTTGTGCTCATAATCAACATAATCAAACATTGAAGCGAGACATTGGGTGGTATGAATAAAACTGAGTAGATACTCATATTCGAAGTACGAAGTATCTACTTCATCATTACTCTTATATACCTGAGCATCTACTCTATGTACTGAGTACCTACTTGGGAACATTGTATCTCCCCGGACACAAACTGAACATCTACGCGTTTTGTGAGCATTTAATCTAGAAATGAGCATCGGCGTGGCAAATAACTGAGCTGTCTGTAAAGCAGCTTAGAAAACAGTAGGATCGTTGTAAGAGTGAATTTTAACTAAACATGGTGACTTTCATGAACGTGGAACGTCGTCAAAAGGTGCATTCAGTTTGAAAAACACATTAGGAGCAGGAATATCGAAAACTTTTCATGTAATTAACTTTTATTTAATCATAAATTGTGCAGTGCGTTTTTTCTAACACTGGCCATAGAGATTCCCATCTTAAGGTGTCTACCCCATGCTAACTTATATTTTGGTGACTCGATTTTTGCCTTGATGGTTGAACACTGTCACTGTTGTCCTTTTTTGTTGTATCGAGATGCTACTTGAGCATCAACTGTTACTTACTGAAGTATTAGTATCATCTAGAAAAACTAGAAATATTTTGATTTGATATTCGAGTAGATACTTCGTATTTCGAGTATGAGCATCTACTGAGTTTTATTTATATCAACCATTGTCAAAAAATTGATCGAACGTTGTTTCGACAGAACTTCGTTCACACCAAAAGTATAATGAAACCTATTCAGCATTTTCGAATTGAGTCTGTTCTTCACACAATTTTGTGATGACCTAATCAACATTTACTATCAACACGTATACCACCTTGGATTGGTGCACTGTAATACTAAAAATAACTGTATTGTATTCCCAAAAGTATCTGCGAAAATCGAGTGAGCTATTTCATCAATTTTTTGGGGGGAATAAATAAATATTCTTAACAATTTACCATGCTTACAATAACTTTAAAACGTCTGCAAGATCTTGAGTTATTCACTAAAATAAATTGACTGATCCATATATTTTTTTGAGTCACTGTAAAAGCAAATCTAAAAAATATGAATGCAATGATAAATTACGAAAATATACTGATGATGTTTTCCACATTTTAGATAGGATTTATTCGGCAAAATCTTGAGATGACGTCTTCAACTTTTTGGGCTTGATAAACAGATATATTTTGATTGAAAACCTACCATGTCAAACAGTAACTTCAAAACGTCTGCAATTCAATCAATAAAATAAATTGACTCAGTGATAAATTTTTTTGAGACACCCCCTATAAGCAAAACTAAAAAATATGAATGGAATGATAAATCACAAGTATAGTCTCATCCTATTTTGGACATTTTAGATAGGATTCATTTGGCAAAATTTTGGGCTGACGTCATCAATTTTTTGGAGGGGATACGTAAATATATTTTGAATAAAAATTTATTATGCTTATCATATGTTTAAAACATCTGCAAGATTTCAAAGCATTCGATTTTGCAGATTCAAATTTAAATTGTAGGTGAAACGAAGTTCACGGGGTCGGCTAGTATATAAATATATATATACAAACTTTGCTCGTTTAATAGTATAAGATACTGAAAGTTTCCAGCAATTCTTCTGGCTTTATTAATAGGGCCAACCTTAAACCTACGTTTTTGTCTTCCATATTTAATTTTAATTGCTGCGTAAACACACAAAAGATAGCCGAGAGAACCTAGTAAGTACTTTTGTCGAATTTTGGTTGACTTCATTTTACTTTAAAAAATCATGGCCGACTAGTATAAAGATTATGGCCTGTCCAAGACGTACGATACGTGTTGCCATCTATTAATAATTACACTTAATAATTTAGCAAAATTTTAATTTGACTTGACATTATGGGACTTCAAAACGTGTAATGGTGGTTTGTTTCGGTATGAATGCCTTTGTGCTTTTCAAAAAGTGTTAATAATTCTTTTGTCGTTTTTGAATTATTAATAGATGGCAGCACGTATGGTACCTTTGGCATTCCTTTGGACGGGCCATAATCTTTATACTAGTCGGCCATGTAAAAAATTAACTCGTTCGAAAGTACGCAATGTTGACGTGAAAACGTAACCTCACAATTGGATTTGACAGCTGCGGCCTGTGCGAACGGCAACTGCCAACGGAGTTTATAAATGACAATTTTCAGCTCTAGCAGCAACGTCAGCGGGAACAGCAACTGCAACGGCAACTTCAACGTCAACAGCAAGTTTATAAATCCCACTTAATAAGTGACCTTGTCATAAATTTCAAAGAATTAATTCAGTTTTCTATTACTTAATTTCAACGGATCTCTCTAGACGTCACTGAGGTCTGAACCATCACCGGAGTCTGGACAGCTAATGACATATAATCCAAACCACGTGATTTGTGTTTTCTATCAATGATTTTGAGAAAAGTTATGATTATGAATGAGGTTTCCACGCCTTACTTCTACCACCGTGGTTACAACCAACATACTTGATTTTTGAAGTGTAAATTCATGATACATGACGATTAAACTGCCCTACCGTTTTGTCCCATGCCTATCGGTAATTTTACACTGTGCAAGTTAAAACATAACACACCGTTACCAAAAAATCCAGTATTACTCTGGTACACTGATGCTACAACTTTCATTATATCAACATTCAACTGATGCAGTTTCCTAAATGAAATGGCAGCATAATCATCACTGTCCACGCCACGCGTTTACCAATTCCAATCTGGAAAAGTTTAAATATTATTAATAAATCCATAAAAGAAAATTAACAGCTTACTTTCACAAATTGCATTGAATTTTCCGACGTAGGTTCCACACATTTAAACGATATGGCGCGTCCCTTAAGCCCAAAACGCTTGAATTATTTTTTTTCTTCAGACAAAATTTGCAAATGCTTCAAACCACGTCCGTTTTGGGTAAGTAAACTAAAAAAAGGTTTTTTTTTGTGTTTTTTTTGAAAATTAAAAAGTAAATATACAGCCTGACTGCGAAATATGTGCAAAAAAAAATGGGGAATAGCTCACGATACGAGTATGTCACTGTATAAAATTCACGGTCCTAAGTGGTAGCAGTGTCGAGAAAAAAATATTTGAAATTACATATAAATTGTCACACACGCCGCTGGTAGTGTTTCTTGACCTACATCATTACTACAATGAATGGCACACAGCGACGAAGTTTAAGAACCAAAAAACTAGTGCAAAAAGACGATAAGGACAGTAGTGCATCAGTTACTTGCCGTAGCTGGGTGTGTTCGGTTGTGTTTAACAATGGTAAATTTTACAAATTCAGAGCGTGCCGACATGGTAATGCTGTATGGGGTGGCGGATGGGAACTCAAGCTTGGCCCGCGAATTGTGGGTCGAACGCTTTCCAAATCGCGCGCTTCCATGTGCGCGAACATTTACGTCAGTGGTACAGCATCTCCGAGATCATGGTACCTTCAACCTCAAACTCACGATCGTGGTCGTGATGGGACAGAAAGAAGAAATTGGATTTTCGCAGCTTGTAGTGCATCCTACATTAAAAGTACACGGTCACAACCGTACCATGTTGAAAAAATGCACGGTTTGGAGTCCACTGATTGTCCACGTTGTGTAACTCACTTTTTGTCCGATGGAACTTCACATAGTCGTCAACAAGTACGATTTCAAGAGACGGTTTTCAAGAAACGTGTATTGGTTGGATGAAACAATTCGTTTGTGGAAATCAACAGTGTCCAGAAATAATCGAAGAGCTTCAATAAGTGAAAGTGGCAGCCGCTACTCCGGTGTTTTTTTTACCTATCAACAAACCTCTTGCGACGCTCTGACGCCTGTATTGCTAGTCAAGGACAACATTTTCAACATTTCTTGTAAAAAGGTAGTAGCATTCTAAGTTGCTCTTATTTCTGTTCCAATAAACAACGTAAAATCGTTGTGACAAGGACCAAACATCCGTCAGAATCAAAATTACCAAAAAACTTTCACACTGACCTTTAACGATGAATGAGTAAATGAATGAACGAATGATAAGCAGCAAAAAGTCGGTTTTACTTTTAATTGAAACTGAAAGTGTTTAGGTCGTTTTTATTCGAACGTTTTTCCAACTCTGTTTACAAGGTGGCTCAGTGCCTTCGTATCGAGGGTGGTTCATGGGGGTTTTGCCCCATTCGATTTTTAATTTATTTTTTCTATATTTCGGCTCTACTAGAGTGGGGGATGCCGTGGTTAAAATATTTGCACATATTTCGCAGTCACCCTGTATGTATAGGTATATACCTGTTATGTAATGTAGGTCTTACATTAGACGGCCCTGGTATTTTGTGCATCGTTGCTGAAATTATGTTTAATTTTTGCTTTTTTCGTAACATTATAGACCCACTTACATGATTTCTTCGTTACTGACAACTACATCTCCACTCAAATTGAAATCTATCAGTGATCCTTGGGAACTATAAATTTATAACAATAACATTAACAACTGCAAATACTCGTATTGTAGATATAAAATACTCACTCTGCAGACAGAAGCAATTTTTCTCCAATTTGGCGAAAAATGGGGTTTGTTTCACTATTCTTGTTTCGACCACACAATTCCAGTTAGAGTTCAATTAAGTGGCTATCACCCATTAACACAACCTCGTATAAATAATCCTTTGTAAACAAAGTAAAATCCATGCTTCTAAAAAAACATTACAGTGAATCATTTATTTGGCAGGGGTTTCAAATATTTACTTACTTTTGTTTAAAATTTAACAACACTTTTGCGCCACGAGGGACAGGAAATACAAACTTGCACACACAAAAGACAGAAATAAAGTGAAAAAATGCTTGCAAAAATATGCAGACATCAATTAGTTTCCCATTATCTCCCACTCATCATCAACAATATTGCATTGGCATTGGTTGTTAAAAAATTAGTCCACTGCAGTTTGGAAAAATTTACATTTTTTTTTAAGACAGTTGGATTTTGTATTTCGTCATGAACGGGCGTTTTGTATGTGTTGTGTTGATACACTCCCCTACGGTTTTCGATGTATGGACATGTAGTATTAATTAAGAGAATGACGTAAATAAAATCTAAACCAAATATATTGTAAATGAAATAGAAGATGTTATGATGTCGAGATCCATAAGGGCTGGCATTAGAGTAAAGTAGAGACAATACAAACGGGCAATCAATTAAGTTATCTAAGATTTTATAAATAAATACAATACATACAAGGTGATTGCGACATACATGCAAAAAAAAAATGGGGAATAGCTCACAATATGATTATGTCACTGGGTAAAATTCACGGTCCTAAGTAGTAGCAGTGTCTAGAAAAAATTATTTGAAATTAAATGTAAATTGTTGTACGCGCCGCTGGACTGTTTTGTGACCTACATAATTACTACAATGAATGGAACAGAGCGAGTCGGATTAAGAACCAAAAAAGTTACTTTATCAGGCACTTTTTTAATCGCAACGTGAAAAACACGAAAAGGGCCAGTTAGCATCGAGCGGTCGGTGAAATCGGTTTATGGTGGAGTTTTCCCATGCAGATTGTGTCGATATGGTAATTGGTGTCCGTGAACATTTGCATCAGTGGTACAGCGACTCCGAGATCATGGTACCTTCAACTTCAAACTCACGATCGTGGCCGCGATAGGACAGAAAGAAGAAGTTGGATTTTCACAGCTTGTAGTGCATCCTACATTAAAAGAATACGGCCACATCCATACCATGTTGACAAAGTACAGGGTTTGGAGCCCGCTGATTGTTCACGTTGTGTAACTCACTTTTTGCCCGATGGAACTCCACGTAGTCGTCAACAAGTACGATTTCAAGAGACGGTTTTCGATTAATGTGTATCAGTTGGATGAAACAGTTCGTTTGTGGAAATCAACAGTGTCCAGAAATTATCGAAGAGCTTCAACAAGTGAAAGTGGCAGCCGCTACTCCGGTGTTTTTTTACCTATCAACAAACCTCTTGCGACGCTCTGCAGGGCCGGCGCTACCGACGGTGCAACACGTGCAATTGCACGGGGCGGCGGATTTTTGAAGGGCGGCGAAATTCGATCATAAAAACTTATTTTTAAAATAACTGAAATCAAACTCAAACAAGAAAAAGATTACAATGCTTATGTGGGAAAAATTTCAACCGTATCATTCCTCCACTAAAATAGACTCATATTTCAGTCGCCAGAGCAATACTTAAAACAATTAAGCGTGACGCTTTCCTAAACAACCGAAACGGTATACGGTTAATAAACTTGTTTTAAAGTACTTAAATTTATTTATTTTTGTAAGATGATTCGATTCTTCAAGAAAAGTTTCTATTAAAGCTCAGTTTTGTATCGACTTTAGGAAGTGTTGTGCTTTCGTTCTGTATTTTTCGATTTCGTTTTCGAGACTTTTCTTTGAAAAATGTCTGAAAAACGGTATTGTATTTCGGGTGCTGTGTACCGTAATAGAAAACTTGCTCGAGAAACCGAGTTAAAAAAATTGGTTTAAAGAGTTTAGACAGTACTTCCCTCGCTGTCGGAAACTTGACGACTGCATGCCTATTGTGTTTTTTTTCTCATTACATTTTTGTAGTGGGAATTTAAAAAAAATTGCGATAACGTCATCAACATTTTTGCAAGGACACGTATATCAGTTGGGATAGATGTAGTGTAATACTAAGAATAAAATTATTATATTCTCAAATTTTCGGGAAAATGAATTGGGTCGTTTTGAATATTGATTTGTAATAATCAATAAAATAACGAAACAATTTACTCACGTATACGTATCAGAGGCAACTGAAAATCGTGTATGTATAAACATTCTTAATTTAAGATGACAGGCGTAACAGCATACGTGAGAGTCAAACAGAGAAACTGTAAACAAAACGACCATCGGTTTTATTGCTTCGACTTCCGCTTATTATATAAAACATTGGGTTTTATTTTAATTCACAACGGTGAAATTCACAATTGGTTGATTATAAAAATGTCTATTTCACATTCGCGGAACCAAGTGAGCGCATAAAACAAATGCAGGTCTGTAATGTTAAAGTCGATGTAAATAAGCGTGCTACCCTTATGTTTCAACCGAGTTTTTCCTTTAACAAATTTTGTGTCTACCAAATTGGGTTGGTTGGGGTGTAATACTAATAATAAGTGTTGCCTTTAATTTAATCAATAAAATAAATTGACTTCATTAATTTTTTTGAACCACCTCTTAAGAAAATCTAAAAAATATGAATGGAATGATAAATCACAAGTACAAACTCATCACATTTTTTGCATTTTAGATAGGATTTATTCAGGAAAATTTAAGGGTGACGTCATCAATTTTTTTAGGAGGGATGAACAAATACATTTTGAACAAAAGTTTACCATGCTTATAATAACTTTAAAATATTCCCAAGATTTCAAAGCATTCGGTTTTGTAATTCCTGATTAAATCGATAAAATAAATTCACGCCTTCATTAATTTTTTTGAGTCACCCTGCATATGCAAATCCAAAAATATGAATGGAATGATAAATCACAAGTACAAACTCATCATATTTTGTACATTTTAGATACGATTTATTCGGCAAACTTTTGAGCTGACGTCATCAGTTTTTTGTAGCAGATAACCAAATTTATTTTGACTAAAAATTTATTATGCTCTTTATAACCTTAAAACATCTGCAAGATTTCAAAGCATTCGGTTTTGTAGTTCCTGATTAAATCAATAAAATAAATTTACGCATTCATTAATTTTTTTGAGTCACTCTGTATATGCAAATCGAAAAAATTTGAATGGAATGATATATCACAAGAAGAGACTCACCATATTTTGTACATTTTAGATAGGATTTATTCAGCAAAATTTTGTGGTGACGTCATAAATTTTTTAGGGGGGACGACCAAATACATTTTGATCAAAAATTTACGATGCTTATGATAATTTTAAAATATCTTCAAGATTTCGAAGCATTCGGTTTTGTAGTTCCTGAGTAAATCAGTAAAATAAATTTACGCTTTCATTTATTTTCTTGAATCACCCTGTATATGCAAATCCAAAAAATATTAATGGAGTGATAGATCACAAGTACAGACTGATCATATTTTGTACATTTTAGATATTGTCACATTAGATTTTTTGAGTTTTAAAGTTTCGACATTCCTCTCTTCGGGAAATGGCCCAGCCGCGAGTTACGGCGGGAGACCGGGGAGACCATAATGCTGAGCTTGCCATAGATTGATGAACTGTGATTTTGCAAGCTCAGCACCAGGGAGTCTTCCTCGGCTCGTGCCGGAGCTCCGGAAGGCAGAGTGTGTGTGGTGGCCCACGGCGACAACACGAGTAGTAGGTGAGTAGTTCCTTTTTTTTTTGTAAATTTATTTCGGTTATTTCAAATAAATAGATCTTAAGTTTTTTCCTAAAATTTTTGAAGTTTTATTTTTTTCGAAGTGTGGGTTCTTTTTTTGAAGATGTTTGGGGGCACGTGACAATATGATTTATTCGGCAAATTTTCGAGCTGACGTCATCAAGTTTTTGGAGGGGATAAGCAAATATATTTTGACTAAACATTTATTATGCTCTTTATAACCTTAAAACATCTGCAAGATGTCAGAGCATTCCGTTTTGTAGTTCCTGATTAAATCAATAAAATATATTTACGCATTCATTAATTTTTTTGAGTCACTCTGTATATGCAAATCCAAAAAATATGAATGGAGTGATAAATGACAAGTACAGGCTCATCATATTTTGTACATTTTAGATATGATTTATTCGGCAAACTTTCGAGCTGACGTCATCAAGTTTTTGGAGGGATAAGCAAATATATTTTGACTAAACATTTATTATGCTCTTTATGACCTTAAAACATCTGCAAGATTTCAGAGCATTCGGTTTTGTAGTTCCTGAATAAATCAATAAAATATATTTACGCATTCATTAATTTTTTTGAGTCACCCTGTATACGCAAATCCAAAAAATATGAATGGAGTGATAGATCACAAGTACAGACTCATCATATTTTGTACATTTTAGATACGATTTATTCGGCAAACTTTTGAGCTGACGTCATCAGTTTTTTGTAGAAGATAACCAAATATATTTTGACTAAAAATTTATTAGGCTCTTTATAACCTTAAAACATCTGCAAGATTTCAGAGCATTCGGTTTTGTAGTTCCTGATTAAATGAATAAAATAAATTTACGCATTCATTAATTTTTTTTAGTCACTCTGTATATGCAAATCGAAAAAATTTGAATGGAATGATAAATCACAAGAAGAGACTCACCTTATTTTGTACATTTTAGATAGGATTTATTCAGCAAAATTTTGTGGTGACGTCATAAATTTTTTAGGGGGGACGACCAAATACATTTTGATCAAAAATTTACGATGCTTATGATAATTTTAAAATATCTTCAAGATTTCGAAGCATTCGGTTTTGTAGTTCCTGAGTAAATCAGTAAAATAAATTTACGCTTTCATTTATTTTCTTGAATCACCCTGTATATGCAAATCCAAAAAATATGAATGGAGTGATAGATCACAAGTACAGACTGATCATATTTTGTACATTTTAGATATGATTTATTCGGCAAATTTTCGAGCTGACGTCATCAACTTTTTGG